CTGCCCAACTTTCTAACCTAAAAGGATCATTTTGTTTAAGGCCTGTTGCAACTGGGCTACTATTGTTATCTCCACTATGATTGGAAAGCTTTCGTAAATATGTTTTGCTAGATGTACGAAGTTCTTCCTTATTGTGTTGAGGATTTGGGGGGAGGTACGGAAGTAGACGTGGTGCGGGTGTGTTCCATATATTGTCCCAATCCACGCCCTCGAAAAACGGATGCCTTTTCAATTTTTCAACACCTGCTTTACCCCCAGAACCCAGACGCTCAGATGGGTTTAATACCTAATTATTTAGAACATACGAATTATAAAAAAACTCTTTCTAAATAAAATATTATAAGATATCATTCATACCAATAATTTTTGAACCAAATCTTTTGCTACCGGTGGGAATCCCTCAGGAAATGTATATTCAAGATTGACAATTCTCTGAAAAGTCAGATATTCATTGTTTCCTTTAAACGGTGGACGTCCAGCGATTAATTGATATATAATACAACCTAACGCCCAAAAATCTGAACTATAATTTTGATGCTTACATTAGTTTTTTAACGAATAAAAATCGTCGTTAATTATTATTTACAAACCTTTTACAAGCAGACTTCTCTTTCAATAATTCAGGACTGACGTACTCTGCAGTTCCGACAAAGGAATTTGCACGTTCGTCTAAGATTATGAATCACAAGGGTAAATAAAAAAACAATATATGTATATACAAATATATATAAAGTAATATAAATTCAAACCTTCACCATCTTCGGTAGACTCTAATATTTTTGCTGTACCAAAGTCAGTAACCTTAACGTGCATTTTTTCGTCTAATAATATGCTAAATGAGGATAAATAATCGCCAGTTAAAGATTATTAACCCTGTGCATTAATTATTTTGCCAAGTTGAAATGTGGTGCTTACTTTTCTGGTTTTAAATCTCTGTATAATCAATTTTAAGGAAAGAAATTTGAGAATAATTTCTTTGAAAATATACACAGAGATATTTTAATAATCATCACCTGTGGATCACACCCTGAGAGTGCATATATTCTATGGCTGATACTATTTGCGCAGCATAAAATCTCGTGCAATTCAGATCAAAAGAGCCAAGCTATAAATTCCGAATAATAATAAATACATGAATCAGATAAATAAATCATGATCGGAGTGACCAGAAAGAAATTGCACACCTTCTTTATGAATGCGAGTAATTCACCATTTTTAGCATGATCTAAAACGAAATCTGATTTAGTAAAAATTTAGGTTAAAGATTTAATGATATTATTAAAAAATTCAATTGATCACATTTTCAAGATAAATCTAGAAATATTAAATTAATGAATTAAAGAAAAAGGATACATAAACTATTTTGATCTTGAAAGGTATAATAAAGACGAACAATTCCTGGATGATTCATTTTATTAAGAGTATTTTTCTCAATGTTAACATATTTAACTTTTTTCTCTCTTATAATATGCCTTTTTTCAAGAATTTTTATGGCATATTCACGCCTTGAAGAGCGGTCTATCGCGAACATAACCTGTAAATAGGAAACAAAGAATATATTTGCATGCTTCAACAAAACAAAAAAGTAAAAATAGGAAGTGATGCCATGTTTACAGTAGAGTAAGAGCCTTCGCCAAGAGTTTTACCGAATTCAAAGTCATTAACGCCTTTTTTTTCGAACTGAAGGTGAATGAGACATTGCAGGAAGAAAGCTGAAAATAAAATAAAGGACGGCCGAATATTATCGTCATATAATATAATACAACTTCCCCCTGGAATTCAAATTTGCGCAGCAAATTGATAGTAAATTTTTGATTTACGGGGGGTAATACTATAGGTATTTTTGATAATAGGAGTTAACCTGAAATTAGTTTGTGAAGTTTCCATAAATACCACAAGACGGAGATAAACATGTGATGACGATTTGCGAGAAAATACACAAACAATCCAAATATATATATACAATATGTATTACTTAATCTAAAGTGTTTCATATAAATTATACAATGATTTGCGGGGTTGATAATGGTTGGTCA